ATGTTGCTGTCATTCATGATGATGGTGATGATTTTGGTGGTGTTGTGGTTCCCGATACGGAACTTTGAGTGACGCGTAGGTTCGACAATCCCGAATATCAGGAGGAAGAATTGGGTTTGTAATTCTACGGTACTATTTACAAAAGGGTAAGCAAATGTGTACAACAAACCTCAATTGTTCACGTTCCTAGCGTCAAGTTCACAAGTCTGTCACTGACCGGCACAGTGCTGTGTCAACGTCCGCACACCAAACAAGGGCGAGCGGAATGATGGCTCAGTAGCGTGGGTTGCGGCCGTTCCTTCCGACGACGGTCTCGTGATTCTCATTGGACGTGCGATAACATGGAACTCATGAGAAAACAAGTCAAGGCAGGCTCAGCAAACGGGACATGAATGCACACGGGTAAGTAGGTCAGCAGCGCGTTCACACACAGACACACATGTCGGAAAGGATGGCCTCTGCGGCTAGGTGAGTGGCGGGTACGAATAAGCAAAACAACGAGATCAAAAGTGCATCGGCGGAGTAAGCAAATGAATGGGGGAATTATCATAAGGTCAAGTTAGATTCAACAGGTGGGCCCTAGAACGATACGTAAGCTCTTTTTACGACCTAACTTTCAAGGCTTATAACTAGCAGCTCCGTGGACTCGAAACTACATGCTGCAATTGGTCAGTTACTCATTTGTCTCTGTTTGACGCGCCTTTCGATGACTGACATCTATCCCCCGTTTGCAACGTATCCTGTTCTTGTCGTCTCTTTCAGGCGTCAGACTTGCTATCCATCGCTCCCGCTGAACGTACTGCGTCATTTGCTACTGGCTGAGTTACCGGAGGCGCCGCCTATCATACCACCAGTGAGTTTCCTATATTTACTTATACCTGTCTGTTCAGTTGCTGACTGTTGTCCGAGTAACACAAGGACACCTGTCATCAGGTCGACGGTTGATTTATATTCGAACTCTATGAGCAGGTCTCGCAACGTGTTCTATACGATTAATCCGGTAGAGCTGTGCCATTTGAGAAATTCTCTGTTTCACTGTAAAATCTTTGCTTTGGTTCCCATTGAAGCTCACCAGTTCATTCAAGTCATTCTGCGGAAATGGCTCGGCACAGTGCGGCTGTCATCACTACGTATCCGCAGGATACAAGTGTTTCGTGGATTCAATTAGTAAGGCCTTAGTCTGGCGTACGTCGAGTCTCTGTGGACCTGTATCTGTCCTCGGTACAGGCTGCTTATCGAACGACTTCGTACGGTTGAACTTGTCAGTATGAAAGATTTGGAGCTGCATTCAAGACCCATGCATAGGAAGTAAGCAGGAGATCCGGCTTTTGCAGTCCCCAAAGGAATTATGCCCACACATTTATGAATAAGGGGACTCAGCATGCTTGATGTTAAATAAATTGAATTAACCTGTTTTGTCTTTCTAATGAACCAGTGATATGACTTGTCCCTTTTTTGTACAGCACCTGCAGGCCACACAAATCTACGGTTTCGACCCACTACCTCCCAAGGATTCCGTCGATATCTACTCTCCAGAAGAAGAAAGGTTTGTTCCTTGCTATTGTTCTTGCCAACGCGAATAGTGCATCGTAAGTAAGTTACGAGAATAGCTTTTTACTGATGTTCGTCTCTTTTGTTCATTACACAATACTACTGATAGTAGACGTCCGGCGCCAAGCTGACATACAACCAAAAAAGTCGCGAGGGCTCAAGTACTGCAAGGTTGCCCGAGCGCAGAGAGGAACAGTCGAGATGCCGAGGATGGTTTCGAACCCTCCGGTCAGCCAGTTCGAATCCTAACAACTGCGCCAATTCGAGCGGTTTTTACATATTAATTAAATGGATCTTGGTCTGCAATGCAAATGAGTTTAACGTTGTAGCCGCCCGCGTAACCGCCTTTCGTAGGAAGGGATGGCCTCTGCGGCTAGGTGAGTGGCGGGTACGAATAAGCAAAACAACGAGATCAAAAGTGCATCGGCGGAGTAAGCAAATGAATGGGGGAATTATCATAAGGTCAAGTTAGATTCAACAGGTGGGCCCTAGAACGATACGTAAGCTCTTTTTACGACCTAACTTTCAAGGCTTATAACTAGCAGCTCCGTGGACTCGAAACTACATGCTGCAATTGGTCAGTTACTCATTTGTCTCTGTTTGACGCGCCTTTCGATGACTGACATCTATCCCCCGTTTGCAACGTATCCTGTTCTTGTCGTCTCTTTCAGGCGTCAGACTTGCTATCCATCGCTCCCGCTGAACGTACTGCGTCATTTGCTACTGGCTGAGTTACCGGAGGCGCCGCCTATCATACCACCAGTGAGTTTCCTATATTTACTTATACCTGTCTGTTCAGTTGCTGACTGTTGTCCGAGTAACACAAGGACACCTGTCATCAGGTCGACGGTTGATTTATATTCGAACTCTATGAGCAGGTCTCGCAACGTGTTCTATACGATTAATCCGGTAGAGCTGTGCCATTTGAGAAATTCTCTGTTTCACTGTAAAATCTTTGCTTTGGTTCCCATTGAAGCTCACCAGTTCATTCAAGTCATTCTGCGGAAATGGCTCGGCACAGTGCGGCTGTCATCACTACGTATCCGCAGGATACAAGTGTTTCGTGGATTCAATTAGTAAGGCCTTAGTCTGGCGTACGTCGAGTCTCTGTGGACCTGTATCTGTCCTCGGTACAGGCTGCTTATCGAACGACTTCGTACGGTTGAACTTGTCAGTATGAAAGATTTGGAGCTGCATTCAAGACCCATGCATAGGAAGTAAGCAGGAGATCCGGCTTTTGCAGTCCCCAAAGGAATTATGCCCACACATTTATGAATAAGGGGACTCAGCATGCTTGATGTTAAATAAATTGAATTAACCTGTTTTGTCTTTCTAATGAACCAGTGATATGACTTGTCCCTTTTTTGTACAGCACCTGCAGGCCACACAAATCTACGGTTTCGACCCACTACCTCCCAAGGATTCCGTCGATATCTACTCTCCAGAAGAAGAAAGGTTTGTTCCTTGCTATTGTTCTTGCCAACGCGAATAGTGCATCGTAAGTAAGTTACGAGAATAGCTTTTTACTGATGTTCGTCTCTTTTGTTCATTACACAATACTACTGATAGTAGACGTCCGGCGCCAAGCTGACATACAACCAAAAAAGTCGCGAGGGCTCAAGTACTGCAAGGTTGCCCGAGCGCAGAGAGGAACAGTCGAGATGCCGAGGATGGTTTCGAACCCTCCGGTCAGCCAGTTCGAATCCTAACAACTGCGCCAATTCGAGCGGTTTTTACATATTAATTAAATGGATCTTGGTCTGCAATGCAAATGAGTTTAACGTTGTAGCCGCCCGCGTAACCGCCTTTCGTAATTTTATCCTGAATGTGCGGCTTATACCTCTTCGCCCAAATGCAGTTTTGCGAAATGCATAGTCCATAAGTGCCAATGTGGCTGCGATAGTGAAGTGCGATCCAGCCAGTATCCCGCGCAACACTCTCCTTTATCAAGGCCACAGATTTAGGTATAGATTTAGGTATAGTACTAAAATTAGTGACGTTTGATTCTTCACATTTAGTCCTGTTAGGCACATGTAGTTTTAACGTTTTGTTGGTGATTCCGTGAAAATAATAAAGTCGTCGTGAAATTGCAGGTAACAACAGCAACAGTTCCATCTTCGTGGGTCTTCATTGACGCGTCTTCCTCAAAGAGCTGAAGATTCATTACCAAATTATTCGTCGCGACTGATGTTTCTGACTCTTATGTGTTTTACTTTTGGCATCGCCCTCGTTCATATTGGGTTATAAATTTTGCCGCCGCTCTAATTTTAAGTTCCGGTTATCGCATGATCTTGGCGGAAATCTTCGTGATTTCTTCACTCCTCATCTAATTGGCTCGGTCAAGGTCATTCGGATTTCACTGCTGGGCTTAGTATTTCATATGCATCCAGTCTGCCAATGGCAGGGGAGGGAGTTCTTGAACCGAGTTTGCGGTTGTTCCAACAGGAGTAGGTAATCTACCTAAAATGTCGTTTGACCATATTCTCTTCTGAACCTTTGTGCATACGAGANATGGCAGGGGAGGGAGTTCTTGAACCGAGTTTGCGGTTGTTCCAACAGGAGTAGGTAATCTACCTAAATTGTCGTTTGACCATATTCTCTGCTGAACCTTTGTGCATACGATACGTATGGATCGTTGTTAGCATGGATCTCAGGGCGGGTTATGTAAGACCAACCGAAGTGGAGCATAGT